CCTAGGATTACGGACCCTGAAAGTGGCTTCTCCCAATCCTTTTGATCTTTTTAGTTTTAAACTAGAGGTACCAGAAGTTACCGTACTGGGTTTAGGCAGCCAAATATTCAGAGACCTCAACTTTTGGTCCCTGACATATCTTCTTCCTATCCCTGTAAAGAGAATTCACCTGCCACAGGATTGTTCACTCAGTAATACAGCTGAGTTTAGATTTGCACTCAGTGTGAGCTGGGTTTAGAGCTTTGTGAGGCAGGTTAGTTTTACTCTAAGGATGATAGTACAACTGATTTCCCACATGCAAAAGAATGAAACCAAATCCCTTCCTCACACTATGTATAAAAATTAACTCAAGATGGATCAATAGAAACTAAAAACCATAAAACTCTTAGAAAAAAACATAAGGGTAAGTCTTCATTATCTCCAATTTGGCAATGGATTCTTAGGTATGACACCAAAAGCACAAGAAACAATAGAAACAACAGATAAAATAAAATTCAGCAAAATTAAACTTTTTTTGCATCAACTGACATTATAAAGAAAGTGAAAAGGCAACTTAGGGAATGAGAGAAAATACTGGGAAATCATACCCGAAATACATAAAGAATTTCTACAACTCAATAACACAAACACAAATATTCAATTAAAAAACCCAAAGTAGAAGGCTTGAGTAGACACTACTCTAAAAAGGATATACAAATGGCCAATAAGCCAGGAAAAGATGCTCAACATTAATGTTATTAGTAATCAGGAAAATGCAAATCAAACTCGCAAGAAAAAACCCTCATCAGGATGGCTACAAATCAAAAGAGAAAAAAAAAGAATGTGGAGAAACTGGAACCCTCTCACGCTGCTAGTGGAGATAGAAAATGGTGCAGCCACTACAGAAATAGTTCGGCAATTCCTCAAAAGCTAAACACAGGCTATACCCAGCAATTCTACTCCTAGAAATACATATACCCAAAATAATTAAAAACAAGGTCTCTAAGCAATGCCTGTACACTGTACCATGTTCACAGCAGCATTACTCAGTAATAGCCAGAAGGCAGAAACGCAAGTGTCCATCAACAAATAAATGGATAAACAAAATGTGGTATATACATATAGATTACTACTAAGCCATAAAAAGGAATGAAAGTCCTGATACATGCTGTAATATGGATGAACATTTAAAACATGCTAAGTTAAATAAGCCAGACACAAAAGGACAATTATTGTACACTCTCACGGAAATGAAATACTTAAAATAGGCAAATTCGTAAAGTGGGAAAGTAGATTCAAGGTAACCAGGGCTAGGGAGAAGAGGAACCAGGGGAATTATTGCTAAATAGTTAAAAAGTTTCAGTTTGAGGTGATGAAAAGTTTTAGAAATAGACAGTGGTGAAGGTTAAACATCACTAACGCAACTGAGTTATATACCTTAAAGTTATTAAAATGGCAAATTTTGTTATACATAGTTTACCACAATTTAAAACATCAATCATACACTGAAACTCTTTAAACTGTACACTTTAAATGGGTGAATTGTACAGTATATAAATTACTCTCCATAAAGGTGTTGAAAACATACTTACTTTCATGTCAAAATAGTGACTTACACCCAGAAAGTCATTCCATATGATCTTAGTATGACAATATTTACTGTACATCCATAGCAGGATATATTCTAAAACTATAAACAATGTTAAACTTTAGGATTCTTAAACATCTGAGAAAACCCATCAAGAAGGACAGAACTGTAGTTAGTAAGAAATACTTTAAAAAGCAAAGAAAGGAATACATCAGAATTTGGTACACAGCCTTCCTTCCCCAAACCCATGAATTCATGAATTTATAAGACAGGAGGATGTTTACGACAATAGTAATACACAACATTCAAACTGGCACTGACAGGAACGCAGCTCCCCCCACACTTTTTAAAACAGACTTCCACAAGGTACAATGTCAACACATCACAGAAAAATCAACACCATAACCCATTTTGCTCCCAACTACCTCACTAAAGAGGACTATCTTCAGATGATTAAACAATTATTAAAGACTAATACACAGAATCACAAAATTTAGGGGAAACGTGATACTCTTCTGTCTCTAGTCTCCTCATTTTATGAGGGGAGAGCCCAGGTGGGTTCAGTGCCTTGTGAAGGACACACAGCGAGAAAGGAGTACACAGGACAGCCCCTGGCTGGGCCAGTGCTGCTTCCCATGACACATCATGCCACTGTGAGCAAATACTTGAATTCACTTTAGCTGCTAAGTCTGGAGAACTGCTGTGGGGCTGAAAACAGCACATTCAGACCTCAAGAGATGCCACATGACCCTTCAACTTACACAGCCCCCTGACTCCGCCTCTTGCATACATCCCCTGTAAAAACCTGAAGTAAATAGGTTTGTTCTAGTATAAACTGGTGGGTTCCAAACTTATGGAGTCCTGACAAGGGTGAGGGAAAGGGGGATAAGCAACATTTAGGTACTGAACAGTGTGTTCCCACTCCCCTTTGCTGGGAAGATTAGGTTAAAAAACATCTCTCAAAAAATACAACAGAGAACACAAATAAGAGACAAAAATTTGGATGATCAAGTCAGAACCAACTTCCAATTACTAAGAACGTCAGAAAAATAAGAGGGAAAAAAAAAGCAAGAGAGAAGA